ATATTTGCCTATTGGCCCGGGATGTAGCTCATGGTGCTGCACCTGCCTGGCAAGTACAACATTCTGAGTTCAATCCCCAGTACTGAAAAAAAAAAAGTAGAATATCTGCCTGTTACTACATCAAAAAATAGACTTTAAAGTCACTGAAAAGTTCCTGAAACTTCTTTTGGACCTCTGTGGTGGTTATTTCCATGGTGTACCACCATTGGAAGTACATGCTAAAGGGGAAGGTTAGGATATGTTTAGCTGAAAATATAAAATCCCTAACTTCACTGACTTCAACAAATAGGGACTTTATTTTTCTAACAAAGGTTTTGGAGGAGTCTACTCAGTGATGGTGGCTCTGTGTCCCAGTGACATCAGAATTAAGTTTTTGCTATTTTCTTGCACTTTTCCTCCTGGTGACAAGATGGCTGCTACAGCTTTACATATCACATCCAAGTTCATGGCAAAAAGGAGAAAGAGGAAAGAGAAGAGTCAAAACATCTGCATCATCCCCTTTGATCACGAAAACTAGACTGTCTCTCAACAGCTGTCCTTTCTGTGCCATCGCTTCACTTCTACTTGTTCCTCATAGGCCAAAAGTAGGTTCCATGGCCATCCCTAGCTATAAGGATGGTTGGGACAGAAGAAAACAGGATTGTCATGACTGTCCTATGCCAACTGCAAACCACTTCCAGGATCCGCTCCATCACTACCATGTTAACTGAGGAAGAAGGAAGGAAATGAATCTTGGATAGCTTATCCAAATCCTACTGTCAAGTTTGGTTATCACGCTGTTGGAAGTTGGACAAGCACTGGGAACAAGAGCTTTTAAGAAGGAATAGGCAGAAGGAGTACAAATACACAGGGCATGTAAGGAAAACAAAGAAATTTGATTGGGCTGACGTCTAGACAATTGAATTTTTGGTCATCTATGCTACAGAAAAATGCACTTTTTTGAGGAAAGATACAGATGCAAAAAAATTCCACTAGAAAAAAATCTCTGGTAACAACCCATATGGCCATTAGAAGAGGACTGGTTGAATAAGTGTAGTATACACATTTGATGGAATACTTACAGCTTAAAAGTGAACAAATTAGCTCTATATCTATAACCTACATATTATCAAAAATAAATGAAGGTGGGGCCAGGGATTTAGGTCAGTGGTTCTGCCACCTGCCGTTTAAGTGCAAGGTCCCAAGTTTGATCCCAAGTACCAAAAATTTTATTTAAATAAAAAAATAAATGCAAGTAGATAGTGACATACGCCTGTAATTTAAGCTAATTGGGAAGTTCAGACAGGAGGATCACAAGTTCGAGCCTAATCTGGGAAATTTAGTGAGATCCTGACTCAAAATTTTAAAATTTTTAAAATGGTGGTATATGGCCTGAAGTCTCAGCACTTGGGTGGCTGAGGCAGAAAGACCACACTGAGCTACATAGCAAGACCCTGTTAAGAAAGAAAGAAGAAAGAAACAGAGAGAAACAGAGAAAGAAAGAAAGAGAGAGAAAGAAAAAGAAAGAGAGAGAGAGAAAGAGAAAAAGAAAGAAAGAAAGAGAGGAAGGGAGGGAAAGACTTGCAGAGCCTCTGATACTTTTTAGTATGAACAAGAAATAACATAATAGCTCCATGGATTTAAGTGTAGTTTGTACAAGACTGGTAAACATGGAAAACGGATAGAAATTATAGGCTGGGCTAATAAAACTGGATGGTTCAGTAGGAAATGGAGAGGACCTGGGGGAGATCATGAACATTTTTCCTTCTGTAACTTTGAGTATCTTCGTGGTTGAGGGGAACGTGTTTCTTTGACGACTTTGGAATGCCACTAAAAGCTTTTTAAAAGTAGTTTGTAACTCAATTCTGAAGAGCCGGGTATGACATATGGGATGATGGGAAGCCACTGAAGGTTGCTGAGCAAGGGAATGAAGTGGTGGAGAAAAATCAACCATCCAGGAGTACGTGCAATGGATTAGAAATGAGAGAGGCTGAGGATGGGTGAACATTTAGAAAGCTCTTGTAGCAGCACCTCAGTTGGGAGTTCAAAAGAACTCAACTGTGATCACAATAATACGTGCAGAGGGGCAGAAGAAAGAGGGCCCAGGCTAGAGTTCTGGGGTGTACATGTCTGTATGTTGGGAAGAAAGGTAGTGAGACATGAGTTTCTATTAAATCATGTCAACCTCTATATCTTACACTTCGAAAGCCTGAATAAGTGACTGTAAAACCATAGATATTTTTCTTCTCCAATCTCCTCCAGCATCCACTTATTTGACATTTACAATATAGAGACAAAATAACCATTATCTTTTCATGAGATTTGTGTTATCTCTCCCTTTAAATTGAAAACACCTTGTAATATGATACCATAGAGAATACTTTATTGGTGACCCTCAAAAGTGCAGTGAATCCCATACGTAATCATTCACCCATTCAGCATAATTGATACATAAATGCTCTTTCCTCACTCATTGCTTAACGGAACAACCCTGGTCCTGCCCCTCTGGGAGTTTAGCATTCAGGGAAGGGGACAGGCTGTCAACAGGAAGTTCTCACATGGCTGAGGGTTACAGGAGTGAGTCATGTGAAGAGGAGGAGGAAGGTGATCCCTGAAAGGAAAGCGTTAGCAAAATCCTCGCCATGGGAAGTAGCAGGGTACCTTTGGGCAACCAAAAGGAAGCCATAGATAGCAGGGGCCCGGAGGAGGAGGAGGAAGAGAAGGAGGAGGAGACAAAGGCAAACCAAGACCCACTAGCCATGGGATGTTGGCTCAGCTCCATCCTAAGGCTAAAACACAGATGCTTCTTAGCAGAAGAGAAACAAAGCCTGGTTTGCTTTTTAAAGAAAGGGCACACTGGCTTCAGGTGGGACTACAGAGAAATACCAGACGGATGCTTCTCCCAGTAAGCTGGGAGCTGGCCAGCCTCTGGGTTGAGCCCATTCTACTGTGCTGTCTATAGCCCAGTCCCTACCCTCACTCCCCTCAGCAGAGAAGTGGGAGCCTCAGAAGGCTCCTCCAGAGCTGCCATGCTGGAGATCTGAAGGAAAGAGGTTCTAGGTGGAATGAGGGTAAGGCAAGGTGAATTCCTTCTTTCTGTGCCTCAAAATCCTTATCTACAACCCAGAACATTCCTGGTACCCACCTCAGAGAGCTGCTTTGTGGGCATAAGTCCAAGTTCTTAGTCTGGCACAAAATGAACAATCAAAAAGATTTAGCTTTAGGTTTTGTTCTTCCTCAAAGACAAGCAGACACCTGACCTGCTTCCTGCCTGACCCAGGGGACATCTGCTTGGATCCCAGAGAAAGACTGGGAACCCCTGGGCCAGGCTGGTCTATGACCAAAGTTTGAACAAATCTCATAAGCGTGTTTGGGCTTAGGTTGCTAATATGTAGGTGCTTCTGTTCTTAGGATTTAAAAAGGAAGAACCTCCGGACAGGGAAAAGGGAGCTACCCACCCTCTCAGCGAAACCTGGAGTTCAGCCTCCTCTGGCTGAGACTTAGGAGCCTTAGCTCGGGCGGCGGGGGTGGAGCCTGGAGAACAGGGGC